CAAGGCATGCTATGGTAGGTTCCACCCTACTGCTCGACGACAATAACATCATCAGCCCCACCGAAAGGATGGAATAGGGTGGCAACGGAGTAAACACCTTGTGATATGAGTTTCCCAACCTTACCAACCACATTCATCTTTCTCGACTAACAAAAAAGAAAAAATAACTTGGAACAAAAACCTAAAGGTGAAGGGCATTTTTGTTCCACTCATCTGCAACAGCTCTAACTTCAATATCAGTAGAGGTGCACTGTTAGAGGCATATAAGAAAGCCCAAGAGGCCAACATCAAAGTAAAGGGCTTGATTGTTACAAATCCATCAAACCCACTAGGGACAATCTTAGATCGAGATACATTAAAAACCCTAGTAGGCTTCATCTACCAAAAGACCATCTACCTAGTTTCCGATGAGATATACACAGGAACTGTCTTCAGCCATCCTACCAATTTCATAAGCATCTCTGAGATAATAGAGGAAGACATCGAGTGCAATCATGATCTCATTGACATCGTCTATAGTCTCTCTAAGGACATGGGACTAGCGGGCTTCATGATCGGCATAGTGTACTCATATAATGATGGCGTGGTGAACAGCGGTCGACTCGTCTCCACGCAGACGCAAAACCTAATCTTATCCATCTTGTCAGATAACGAGTTTGTTGGGAGCTTCATCCAGGAGAGTGCAATAAGGCTAGCAACGCCGATCTGCCCTGTTGGATGGACTTGAGGGGTCTCCTCAAAGAACCAACTGTCGAAGTAGAGATGGAGTTGTGGCATGTGATTATCAATGACGTTAAGCTCAATGTTTCACCTGGTTCATCTTTCCATTGCACAGAACCTGGTTGGTTCAGAGTATGCTTTGCAAATATGGACAGTGGAACTATGGAAGTGGCTCTGTGGAGAATTCACAACTTCATGCTTCATCCCAAGGAAGTTGATGTGCCTGTAAAGAACAAGAGTTGGCTACAAAATAACCTCCGGGAGATTTGAAGAGGTGATCATGCCACCACACTTGATATCGCTTCACTCGCCTCTTGTTAGTGCTAGGACTTGACTAGCATAGGTTGATCCCGCTGCTGGTGATGATTGTTTGTCGTCGGCGGTGATGGTTGTTAAGTCGCCGCAAGGTGGATGGGAGAGAGAGAGAGGGAGAAGAGATGTCTCGTCTGCGACACTAAAGGGAGAGAAGAGGAGAGGAGAGGAGAGGAGAGAAGAGGAGAAGAGCAAAAGGAGACACTCGTCTACATAAAGCTAAAAGTTTTTTTTTTCTTTTTTTCTTATGACTATGGTAAAAGGTTCTTTAGTCGGGTAAAATCGATAGCTTTTCCTAATTAAGCTATAGAAAGCTTCTGGTACATTGACACGTTAACCCATTCAATCCCCTATTTGTCTTTTTATTAAAAGAGTATTGAGGGCAATTACTCTTACCCTACATTCATAATAACATGTCAATGTCCAAAAATATTTCCAACGGACACAGCTTTTGCTGACAATATCAAACTACGACCTGCACTACAATTACAACTCAACACAACAAAAGAGACAATGAGCATATTTTGGACAGAAAGAAACATTCATCAAATGGCAACGGAGAGGGGAAAGTGAAGGGTATTTTGCAATTATAGGAACGCCCCACCCACATTGTTAAGGCCATGTTTGGGAGTGCTTATTTTAAAAATAAGTAATTATTTTATATTGGGCATTTAATGGTCTTCTCTTCGATAAACATTTGTGACTCTTTTATCCTTTATTTTTTTTTTCAATTTTTCAAAATATATCCTATAGATGATCTCTCTCTGGAGCTGTAACACGGAAAATTTGAAGAAATCAAAGCTCTATTGTTGCCTTTTTTCTCTAAGAAAAAATGCATCTTTGAACGACTAGTTTTTGAATTAGCTAATGCCTGAGATAAAACCAGACTACTTCCGGAGATGAACGGTCTAAGCAACCTAGGAATCAGACTCTTTGTCATATTCGTCCTTGCCTTCATTGCTATGATAGCCCGTATCCTTTTATGCGTCCTTTGGTGTCGTAGAAGATTCCAAAACTCCACCGGCGAACCTAACTTCACTAGGGGTCCTTTTTCCAGTCCTTCCAAGATTCAGAAGTTGTGAATCACAAGGATTCGAAGTCAGATCGATATCTAAAATAGGCAGAATGAGAAAATATTGCTATGAACTAAATATTTTTTCTTAAGAATGAATTCTTTTCAGACCGACAAGTGTCCTATGTTTCTCGTTTTCATTCTTCAAAAAAAAAAAAAATTGTGCTGGTATTTGTAAACTGCCAGCCTAGGTCTCTAAAACAATTGGTATAGATGTTTACCGGTGGATGGCCGATAGTCAATGTTTGTCAATTGGCATAGATGTTTTGTAAAAGTACTTTCATAAAATTACTACAGTAGAAGTGCTTTTATAAAAGTACATTTGTAAAAGTGATTTCATAAAAGTACTTCCCTAAAAGTGTTTTAGTAAAAGTACTTCCATAAAAGTGTTTTAGTAAAAGTACTTTTATCAAAGTGCTTTCGTAAAAATGTTTTTATTAAAGTGCTTTTATGAAAGTGTTTTTGTAAAAGTGCTTTAATGTAAAAGTACTTTTATATAAGTGCTTTTGTAAAAGTGTTTTTATTAAAGTGCTTTAATGTAAACGCACTTTTATAAAAGTGCTTTTGTATTTACTTTTGCAAAAGTACTTTTTATAAATTTACTTTTATAAAACTGTTTTTGTATAAGTGCTTTCGTGTAAAATTACTTTTATAAAAGTGCTTTTATGTAAAAGTATTTTACATTCGCAAAAATAAACATTTATGACAGCAATTTTGTAGGCAAAGTTTTCTTAAAGAATCAAAATGAGCAAGATGGGGATGATTATTTTTCATGTGCAGGCTACTCAATTTTTGTGCTATGGGGCTGATTTTTTCATTCTAAAAAGAAATGTGACCAATGGCAAGAATTTTGTAACCAAACACTAATGTAATTCATTTTTGGCCCATTCTTGCCTAGAATGAGCAAGAATTAAAAGAACGAGGCTTAGAGCAATGAACCAAACAAGGTCCTAATTTCATTGCAGCCATTCTTCGGTTACCATTCTGGTCTAGGAATGGATGTGATAGCCCAAACCTTTGTCATTCTCTGGTTGTCATTCGCATGTAATAGTCCGAATCTTTTCATTGTGGTTAACTGGTCATTGGGCGATTCATCAAGCAGTATGTCGTCATTTTGGTCCAAAAAGTCACTGGAGACAATTTTGGAAGAAAAAAAAAATTAAACAAGTGTTTATTGTATAAGCACTTAAAAAAGAGTTGGAAATTTAGGTTTAAAAATAAGCCTTTATTTTGGGCTTATTTTCCAAACACTAATAAGTGTTTAATGGTGTGGTCCTGACCCAAATAAGCACTTATTTCGAATAGGCATATGTTTTTAAGCACTCCCAAATATAGCCTAAGGCCCAAGGCCTAAGGAGTCTAGATCAGATTGGTTCCCCACAAGTGTCTCACAGCACCTCCCACCCATGTATTGGAAACATCTACTCATGACAAATATGGGAGATGTTCCCAATGCATGCCAAGATGTGCATGTGGGGTGCCAACCTGATCTCTAAAGAGTCTGTTTCATTAGACTCCGGATATCCTACCCACACCTACTCACAAAACACTACATTTGTGCATCAAGAAACATCTCACCGTGTATAATAATATACAAGGTACAGGAGACGTTCCCTATGTATGGCTGTGAATCATGTGGGTAAATGTGGATAGAGAATACAAACTGGTTTCATCATTTCCCAATGTAAGCCTTTTTTTTTTAATTTTTTGATAAATCCTAAAAGCAAGCCTTATAATGATGATGTTCCATTATTTCTCTAAAGCCCAAACCAACTCATTGATTCTTTAAAAAAGAAAATCACGGGTGTATGGCATGGCAGTTGACACCGTCTGGATCCCTTATTCCTCAATCCTTGCAAGCTAGGTTTTGCTAAAGCAACCTTATGCTGGTTTTATTTTGGAGATATGCATCTTCTTCTTTTGGCTGAAAGGAAGACCCTCATATTACATTGCGTTTTATTTTCTTCTGGCCATTGATAAACTCAAGCATTGGGTTGTTAAGCATTATATGTTTTGAATTTTTAGGCACTGAATGGACCTAGTTTTAAAAGGATTTTTAAAGGTAAAATAAAAGAAGCTGATAAAAAATATCGACCAAATGAATAAGTTCTAACTGGGCAAATGTGCTTTTTTGAGCCCCATCACTATTTTGAAACTGGGCTATGAAGCCTTCCATCATAAGCCTCTGCCCAAAGGGATTTAAATAAATACTTTTTGTTCAAACCATGCATATGGAAATTTATCTAAATTATTGGTTTGATGGTCACACTAGTTAATATTAATGTGCAAAATTTTCATAGAAACACTAACCTAGATTTTACCAATCCAAGCTTGGTCAAATTTGGACTGGTTGGTTTTGACAAAGGAATACACTTTTGTACAGGCATGCATCATCACCCAAATTATATTAAGCTTAGGTTGGGTCCGCCCAAATGGGGATGCAGATGGAAAGAGCTCGTATTGGGCCAGAGAAAATATGGTGTCAGCCCATTTGTGTAATGGGCTTTAAATTGTAAAGATTCATTAGACTCAGTGAAAAATGGCAGTAAACTAGTAGCCCGTTTTGTTGGTTAACTAATTTGCATTTGTTATCTGATTAATATCTGTTGGAATGCTGGAGGAACGAACGTGGCATGAAGATGAGGCCCATGTCTGACATGGAATGCCTGTGCCGCTAAGGGCGGAGGCCTCCAATTTTGGGGAACATGCCTATCTACTTAGATTTATTCCTACTAAAATGACCTACCAAGCCACAGAAAAGCATGGAATAACAACCCATACACATGCAACATAACCCAGGACGGAAAAGCATAATCTACAACTCAAGGCAACCAAAAATTCCTCCAATAAAGACACCACCCCTCTATCCATTTCTTTCATCTCTCTCTCTCGTTTCACAGTACTCTTACCTTCATCATGTCATTAACTATTTTCTTTCTCCTCCTTTTTTCCTTTCCTTCCTTCCATGCTCTTTCTAATTCAACCTTTTCTCCACAAGATCACCAGACCACAATACGAGACATGATTCAACAAGTTTGTGTGGACATGGCTGACCCCGAAACCTGCTTTTCCAACTTCCGGGCCGAATATGAACTAATGGACAGGCATAGTCCAGCTGCAGTCCTCGGCGCCGCGATCAAGGCGTCGATGAACGAAGCGCAGAAAGCCATGGAAGTAGTTAACAAGTTCACGGTTTTGTCGATGAATCCTCGTGAACAAATGGCAGTTGAAGACTGTAAGGAACTCCTCGACTTCTCGGTGTCCGAATTGCAGTGGTCCTTGGCGCAGATGGACAAGACCCGATCTTCTAAGGTGAAAGATGTTCATTCTGAATCAAACCTCCATGCGTGGTTGAGTGCAGCTCTGAGTAACCAAGACACATGTATCGAAGGCTTCGAGGGCACCAACGGTCGCATACTCAACTACATTAAGGGGAGTATAAACCAAGTCACTCAACTCATTTACAATGTACTGACCATGTACCATAAGATGCATAGTCTTCCCTTGAAACCGCCGTTTTATGATCCACAAGTCACCGGAAGCTTGGATTTTCCGACGTGGATGGCGGACGTCGACCCAGACGGTGATTTTCTAGCGGCGGGTCCACAGGGCATAAAAGTGAACGCCATTGTAGCGCAGGACGGGAGCGGGCAGTTCAGGTCGATCATGGAGGCTGTGAATGAAGCTCCTGATTACAGCTGGAGGAGGTACGTTATCTACGTGAAGAAGGGAATCTATAAAGAGAACGTAGAGGTGAAGAAGAAAAAGACCAATATCATGTTCGTAGGTGATGGGATCGGTGTCACAGTGGTTACCGGTAACCGAAATTTCGGACAAGGCTGGACTACGTTCCGAACCCCTACCGTTGGTGAGTGCCACGCGCCTATAAATTTTAATGGGCTAATCACTTTCCTTTCCTTGTTATTTACTTACTGGTAGGGGTGTCTATTGGACCGGATTATGGATGGACCAAGTTACACACCATTAAGTCTGGACTGTTAACAATTCAATATACCTTATTGGTCCATCTAATCCGTTCAAATTGATTTTGATTTGGACGGATTCAACCCTAAACCAGTCCATTGATGCATGGTAACATATAATGTATACATAATATTGCGTATATGCGTGTATATATACTGATTCATTATACATAATACAAACATGTTTGCAGCGGTAACGGGACGAGGGTTCATAGCGAAATATATGACATTTCGTAACACGGCAGGACCCGAAAACCATCAAGCCGTGGCGCTCCGGGTTGATTCGGATCGGTCGGCGTTCTATGAATGCAGCATTGAAGGATACCAAGACACCCTGTATTCCCACTCGCTCCGGCAATTCTACCGGAATTGCGACATCTACGGTACCATAGACTTCATATTCGGCAACGGACAAGCCGTGTTTCAGAACTGTAATATCTACACGAGACAGCCATTACCACTGCAGAAGGTGACGATCACAGCCCAAGGCAGGAAAAGCCCGACCCAGAGCACGGGATTCTCCATACAAGACTGCAGGGTACTGGCAACCCGACCCACCTACTTGGGGAGGCCATGGAAGGAATATTCAAGGACTGTGTTCATGAAGACATACATGACAAGTATGGTCCGGCCGGAAGGTTGGCTGGAATGGGCGGGCAACTTTGCGCTGAGCACGTTGTATTACGGGGAATACAAAAGTGAAGGACCGGGGGGATCACCAACCCGACGGGTCAAGTGGCCCGGTTTTCATATCATAAATGATGCATCGACCGTGTTTTATTTTTCGGTAGATTACTTCATCGATGGTCTGAGGTGGTTGCCCCGGACCGGTATCTCATATACCCCCTACCAGCAAATACTGTAAACTGTAAACAGTAACAGCCTGGGTTTGATTAATCATGTTCATTTATGTTAAACAATTTGAGATTAATTGGACCAATGGTGCATTGGGTTAAGGTAGGCATTAAATTTATTATTTAAAAATGTTATTATTGTAATGAATCCATAATAGTTGAGTATGATGGTAAATGTTGATTCAAATTGGACTAATGGATTAGCTTGTTTTGGTTAAGAATGTCATAAGATTATTGAGTCTTGTCTAAATTTTGCTTAACAAAGTGAACCAACCCACTGAACCGGTTAATTTGAACGGTATTTGGAACTTTTACATTGTAAGTAGAATTGGAATATTTGAACTGAATTGAAGCTTCATTTAATAGAGTATTTGGATAATGGACCTGATTAATAAAATGATTCAATTCAATGAAACAATTCATTTTGACCGTTCTTGGTTCTTCTACATTGTACTACAATTGGGTTAATTGAATCTGGTTAGTACAATGTATTTAGATAACTAAACCAGTCGCTAAGTTGATTTTGCCCAGTCAATCGGTGAGTTTGGACGATTTCTAGGTCTATCACACGATAAGTAAAATATGGGTTATAGTGTTGGATCTAGATGACCCTCATGGTCTCTTGATTTATCCATTAATCTAATTTAATTAAAGTTAATCAAAATTAAATATATAAATAATAATCTATGTATTTTACATATTACTTTAAGATAAATAAACAAATGTCAAATAATTATTTTATATAATAATCTCATTATATAAAGAATTATTAAATGATTAATCTATTTAGTAACTAATTATTAAGGGCATTATTGTAATTTAATGAAAATAAAGGGATCTTCTATGTTAACTAATTCACTAATTCCTGAGTACAATTTGTTATTTTCTTTGAAAAACTTAATAATTTTTAAATGTTTAATTAAATTGGAAATTAATTAATTATACTTAATTGAAATAATTAACTTAATAACTACAATAGTTATTTAATATACTTAATTCGACTAATTTTCATGTTTAGACCTTGGATCTATTTAATTAGCCAGTTCAATTTAGTTATTGTGGGCCTGATGTTCTTTATGTAAATAATATTTAAATTAGGGATTACAATTTTCCCCATCCTCACCAAGTACTTGGCCTTCCTAATCCCACGGGGATGGGGTGGAGACTATCCTAATATGGACAAGGACAAGGATGGGGATTAATAGGGTTATCCAAACGGGGAAGAGGAATAAAGTCCTCGCCCCCAATTCTGATTATATATATATATATATATATATATATTATATTTTCCTTTATTTTAAATAAATCTTATTTTTTTCAAAAATGAACTTTTAATTAAAATTGTTGGGGATTCGAGTATCCAATGAGGAACTTGAATTGGAATTTGCTCTTACCAGAATATACCTCACACCAACCTCATAGATACATCCCACCGTACATTAAAGATATCTCATATGAATAATAACACAAAAGTATGGGAGATGTTCCTGATAGATGGTGGGATGTGCCTGTGAAGTCGGTTTGAGGTGCGCTGTTAATCTATTATGACATTTTTAATATTCAGTAATTACTATTGAGTAATAAATAATTAAACTTCAGTTAATTAAATTTAAACAATCGAATATACTCTTAAAGCGATTCAACCCACTGATCCAATACCCGACCCATCGACACAAATAAGAAGCAAGTTCACCTTCGTGACCCGATAGGCTAATACAGTGAATGCTTGACAGAGCGGTTACAGTAGCGTGTCTGACGGGTCACCCAGCATCTCATTTGATATGCATCTTTTAATTTTTCTTGAGGCCTTTCCCACTAACAACGCTTCATAACTTTGAAATTGAATGCCTAGATTTTTCTTCTTATATTTTCTGTCAAGGATTCGAGTCTCTACAATGTCCAATTAATCTTACATACCTTAATCTTTTCTATAACTAACTTAACTGGAAGTTTCCGCTATTCATAGTCGACTGCCAGAATCTGATATACCTGGACTTGTCCACCAATAAACCGACTGGTCTTATACCACAACTGTTAGTTTCCAATCTTACTCATAATTTGTTTGAAAGGACCATTACCCGTAAACCTTACCAAGCTTGTGCAGCTCAAAGATTTACGTCACCTGTAGAGTTTGGTTCTTCTCCCAGATCCAGACTTCAAATTCACAAGTTACGTACATAAGAATTCGTTAGGTGGGCATATTTCTTCTTCTCTCAAATCAACTCAAGATGCTTTAGTGATCTCCCTGAAATCGATCGAATTCAATTCTACCATTCCTCCCGAGCTCGGCAATTGTACTAACTTCATGTTTCTATGTAAAACCAGAGCTTTTCTGGTTTCTTCTTTTTCTTGTTTTCATTCATTAAAGATTCAGATATATACACAGCCATACACAACCATCGAATCTCCTAAGTTTACAGAAATTCAAATTCAAAACGGAAATTCCTACTCCTAATTCGATCCTAACTCAGTGGAGTCTCCTAATCCCGGAGACTCCCAATTCAATCCTAACACCCCCCCTCAAGTTGGAGCATGCAGATTGTGAATGCACAACTTGCGGAGAAAATACTCAAATTCTCTGCGACCCAAGGCCTTTGTAAAAATGTCAGCCAGCTGAACGGTAGTCGACACATAAGCAGGACGAATGCAACCATTTTGAATCTCATCATGAACAAAATGGCAATCAACTTCAATATGTTTCGTACCCTCATGAAACACTGGGTTTGCTATAATATGCAAGGCTGCCTGACTATCACAATATAATCGCATTGGGTTCGAATGCGTCACTCCAAGAGCCAATAACAATCCCTTCAGCCATTTTAACTCACACGTGGCCGTGGCCGTGGCCGTGGCCATAGACCGATACTTTGCTTCCGCTGAAGAACAAGCCACAATGTGTTATTTCTTAGTTTTCCAGGAAATCGGCGATTTCCCAAGTAGAATAAACCACCTAGATAGGGAATGTCGGGACAAAGGACAACTTGCTCAATCTGAATCACACCATGCATATAACTGCAAGTCACAATCTGAACGCAAGAGAATTCCTTGACTAGGATTTCCTTTCAAGTAGCGCACCACTCGCAATACAGCCTCCCAATGTCTTTATTGCGGTTGCTGCATGAATTGGGACAGAACATTGACACAATAAGACAACTCAGGACGAGTTGCTGAGAGATAAATAAGCCTGCCCACTAAGCGCCTGTATCGCTCAGGATCAGATAAGAGAGGCCCATCTGTCAAGGCCAGATTGTGATTTTGCTTCATAGGAAAATGAGCAAGTTTTGCACCAAGTAATCCAACTTCAGTGATAATATCCAGAGCATACTTTCGTTGAGACAGAAAAATTTCGATTGAGTTTCGGGCAACTTCAATGCCCAAAAAATATTTCAATGGTCCCAAGTCTTTCATATGGAAGCAGTCACTCAAATATTTCTTGAAGACTTGAATTGCCATACGATCAATTACCTAACACGATAATGTCGTCCACATACACGAGGACAAGCACATGTACCCTGTCTCGACGAAAGGTGAATAGGGAGTAATCTGAACCTGATTGCTGAAACCCATATGTCTTCAAGGCTGCAATTAATTTAGCAAACCAACATCTTGGCGCTTGTTTCAAGCCATACAGAGACTTTCGCAATCGACACACCATACCTAGTTTATCTGACTGAAAACCAGGAGGCATTCTCATGTAGACCTCCTCATGAAGGTCACCGTGCAAGAATGCGTTATATACGTCCATTTGATGAAACTCCCAATTTTTGTTGCGACTGCAAGAAAGGTATGGGCAGTAACCATTTTTGCAACTGGGGCAAAAGTTTCATTATAATCAATTTCCCTTGCTTGTTCCCAAAAATCACGAGACGGGCTTTGTATCTTTCCATTGTCCCATCAACGTTGTAGTTGATTCGATATAGCCATTTGCATCCTATGGCTCATTTTCTGGATGACAAAGGCTCTACGGTCCATGTCTGATTATTCTCAAGTGCCTGTATTTCTTTCTGCATTGCATCCCTCCATTTTTCATCCTTTACGGCCTCAGCAAAAGAAGTAGGTTCAACTCCTATAGTAATAGCTACCAAGAAAGCATGAAGTCAACAAGAAAAACTGTTACAATTCACATAGTTATCTATGGGATAAGGACTACCTGCAGGATGTGATTGGCCGAGTGAGCTTGCAAAGGGACGCGGAGAGGAACTCAAGCACTATGTGGTGTGAAGCACATAGTCCCTTAACCTTGTGGACTGTTGTTTCTATTGATGCCCACACCCTAAATGAGAATCAGAGTGTTGTCGTTGCTCAACACCACCCCCTTGACGTCAGGACTGTCTTCGCTTGCATTTTCTGTGGTGATGTCAGAAGAATGCATGGGTTCACTAATATTGGCATTCGGGTCTACGTGGGTTCATTCTTCTACACTGATTCCTTCTTCTGTGAGTTCACCTCGCTGGTTAGTCTCCATCTCGCCATTTGCTAGTCCAGGTGAATAAGTGGATGGTACCAACATCTCATCTGTCCCACTTATTCCACAATCTTGTGCTTTGTTCGGCTGTGCATCATCTTTGTGTGCATACGGGAATTCATGCTCAAAGAAAATAACATCTCTGGAAGCAAAGAACATGCCAGACTCTAAATCATACAAGCTCCATCCTTTCTTCCCAAAAGGATACTCGACAAAAACACACCGTCTGCTTCGACTAACAAATTTATCCCCTCCATGACCATGATTGTGCGCATATGCTAAGCAACCAAAGACTCGCACATTATCATAAGAAGGAGGTCGCCCAAATAACATTTCATAGGGAGTCTTTCCCTTTAATAGAATGGACGGTGTCCGATTGATCAAATAACATGCGGTCAGGACGCATTCCCCCCAAAAATCAGTAGGTAAGCTGGCTTGGAAGCGCAAAGCTCAGAAAACATTGAGTATCTGGTGGTGCTTGCATTCAACCCTCCCGTTTTGTTGAGAGGTCCCGACACAAGTGGTTTGATGAATAATACCACTTTCAGCAAAATAACTAGCCAAGCATACAAACTCTGTCCCATTATCAGTACGGATCACCTTTACAAGTTTGTTAAATTGCCTTTGAACCATAGAAAAAAAATTTCGAAGAACTCGTCCCACTTCCGTCTTATCAACCAAAAGTTAAATCCAAACGCCTCTAGAAAAATCGTCTACTATGGTCAAAAAATAATGAGCACC